TTCCTTTACAGATTTTGACAACTGAGTAAATTGTCTTCACATGACATGTGCCTCTGAATGCATATTACAATCAGTAGAAAGCTAATCAATGCAGTCATTGAAGGTAGGTGTTTTAATTTTGTATTTATTGCCATTCCTAAGGTTAGTTAAGGAAAATCTTTCTTGTTTGTCTCATCAGAAGGCAAGACTGTGCTAGGACTAAGCTAGAAGCAATTTCAGAAAGATCAGTACAGTTTGTTTTTATACTCTTTCTCAGGGCAATCCTCAGCTGATCATTCAGCTACCTGCCCTAGGCTGCCCCAGCACCTCTCCTAAGGAATTCATTTGCAGAAAAATTGCCAGAGGAAAATCCTCTCAAGGGAACTACTACAGTCAACATAACATCTAGCCCAGCGGGTGCCCCACTCTCCACTGTCCTTGAGTCTCCATGACTGTGCATGAAGCTTGCAAGTTGAAATTCCTTTGTCAACTAAATTGCATTTTTTCCGGTGTGTCAGGCCTTTAACTGATGGTTCAGTGTATTTTTGAGGAGCCAAATGGATCCATGTCATTGAGATCATAAACATTATTTTAATGACTGCAGATTTTAAAAAGTGGATGTCAAAGTGGGTAGGGAAAAACATTGTAAAATTAGTATTGATTTAGCCAAATTTATTTTTTCCCCCAGTGGCCTGTCCTAAAGCAAAAGGAGTTATCAGTGAGCAAAAGGTCAAAGAGTCAAAACTAATTTTAAGAATATTTCTAGTTCATTCTGCCTTGACAGAAAATGTGCGCTTGATCCATGTAATTTGACTGCATTTACACACTTCTGTAAGGCATTACATAAATATGTGGAACATACCTCCAACTGTATGCATCCAGCATGTGGATGAATATCCTCAGGCTCCTGAGAAGTCTTGCAATTCTGTATACAATAGTGTCATTGTACAAAATATAAGTCCATATCTGTGTTAAGTTTTACAACCTACTAAAATTTAATCCCTATTCCTCTACTTAAAAATTTGATAGCCAGAGATCAGCTTTCTCCCAGACTAAATTCCTGTGATTGCCACCAGTTTTTCCCATTCTGTCCTCTTTTTACTATTCAGTGCTGCTTTTAATCATGCTCAATCAATAACGAGAGTGAATCTTGCTGGGCAGGTAGTCTGTTTCCTCTGAAGGTGAGAGAACCAGCATCAGTGATGATCATCTGAAGAACCTTCAACTCAGGGACTTCAGTATTTTGCAGGTGAATACAGATATTTATATATCTTTGTTAAGCACACTCAGAAGAACCTGAGGTTGCTGCAGACTTTCACACCTTATCACCCCTAAATCCATACAGTTTACATTCTCCCTATCAGTTGCTGAGAAACCTGTTGAATCCACAGGAGTCAAACTTAACCTGAACTTTTTTAAATAGGATTTGTTTCCTTGATTGGAATTTAACGTGAAGTATTTGTCTCTTGTCTATGTTGGTCCTGAACTAGCCTGACTAAATACTTATTTTCAGTCACTGACCTAAAATAAACATTGTCCTAAAACCTGGTATCCCTAATGAGAACCTGTTGAGCAATGTTTCTTTTCTAGACTGGCTAAGGAGGTCTGTAACTAAAAAGCAGTTCCTTGGAGAGGCCAGTTTTATTTTAATGATTCTTGTGTTGTAAACAGTTGGCTGTTATAGCCAACAGCACACTCTGAGCACAAAGAGGGCAAATCATCCTGTCTTTCAGCAGTTTTTACTAGAAATATATGCACTGTGTATCCTTTGTGTTGAGATGCTTAGGAATTAATTTACAGTGAGGAGCAAATGAGCTAATGGGGCTTTTTCTGTCCCTCTTGCCCTTCCTTCCAGTAATCCCCATCTCTCCTTATAAAATTCTGCAACTCCTTTTCTTCCCTGTGCAGAAAAATAACACAGCTTCTCACTTAGCCCCCCAATACCCACAGAAGATTTAGGAAATAGAGACGTGCAAGCCAGAGTAGCAGGAATGTGAGTGATGTACAGGATCTGGCAGAGATGCTGGAAATAGTTGTCAAAGTCAGCTGAAGAACCACCACGTAGTCCTACCTTGGTGAGATGAGTCTTAATTTTAAATTTTTTATTTCACATGAACAGTTTAATTAACTGGTTTTGGACTGAATAAGAGACTGAAATGGGACACTATCACTCAGAGATGAATCTAAATCAGAACTGATTTGAAAAATATTCAGCTTCTTATTCTTAATCTTTGTACTACTCTGTGGAAGAAACACAGCTTTGGTGACCATAGACTTTAGGAAACACAGACTCCCTCTCAGCCTGTTGTGACAATGAAATGGAGTGTGATCTGAGAATCTGCATAATCTCTTTCTAAATAGCAGTTCCAGGGCTCTTTTTCCTTAGAGAGTCATGGAATTGCAGTACACATGGAAAACTTTCTACAGCATAAAAATACGGTGTGATGTAATTCAAGATTTCAACACGATGCGCATATCCAAAGGTCAGAGTTGAGGCTACATGTGCAACCTTTACTTTGCAATTTCCTGGCAGTCAGAGGTTTAATTTTTGTATCTTTAGTCATATATACTGTTGTCATTTTTTTCCTACTGGCATTTCAAATAGCTTTATCAGAAAGAGGAGAAAACATCCCAGGCACTGCAAACCTTCAGCCCAGATCTGTGCATGGGGGACATTTATTTTAGTCAGTAAAGCTTGGGAAGGCAACTACTTGTTAGAATAAAACCAGAGGTGATAAGAACAGGAAGACAGGCAGACCAAACAGCAAAAGAGGATTGATGTTATCTGTGTAGTCAAGTATTTCCCCTGGCTGGCTATAGGCAATGATACAGTATATTTTTGAAAAGAAAAGTGGAAAGTGCTTATTCCATTTAACTGCAATATGCTGCCTGAAGAAACTGAAAGCCATTCATCTGTGCCAATGCAGACCGGCGTGCTTGGCAGTATTCGTGCTCACAAGCGGAGGCTCTATCACTGTCTAGAAAATTCTGTGGCCTAGAGTACACAGAAGTATGTTGTAAGAACTGATGTCAGCACAGTGATTAATTCATAACACATCACCAGTAACTAGCAGTGTACCCCAGGGATCCCTACTAGGTCCATTCCTGTTCAACGTCTTTGTTAAATGTCTGGATGATGGGATAGAGTGTACCCACTAATGACACAGAACTAGGAGTGGTTGATACACCAGAGGGTTGTGCTGCCATCCAGAGGGACCTCAGCAGACTGGAGAAATGGGCTGACAGGAACATCATGAAGTTCAACAAGGGGAAGTGCAAAGTCCTGTACCTGGGAAGAAACAATCCCAGGCACCAGTACATGCTGGGGGGCAGCCAGCTGGAAAGCAGCTTTTCAGAAAAGGACCTAGGAGTCCTGGTGGACACCAAGTTGACCACCAGCCAGGAGTCTGCCCCTGTAGCACACCTGGAGTACTGTGTCCAGTTCTGGGCTCTCCAGTGCAAGAAGGATAAAGAGAGAGTCCAGTGAAGGGCCACTAAAATGACTAGGACTGAAGCATTTCTTATATGAGGAAAGGCTGAGAGGGCTGGGACTGTTTAGCCTGGAGAAGCTTCTCAGGGTCTCAGGGGGATCTCATCAATGTGTGTGAATACCTGAAGGGAGGCTGTAAAGAAGACAAAGCCAAGCTCTTTTCAGTGGTGTCCAGTGACAGGGCAAGAGGCAATAAGCACAAACAGAAACACAGCAGGCTCCTTCTGAACATCAGAAAATACAATTTTTCTTTTTTTTTTTTTTTTTTTTTTTTTACTTTGAGGTTTACTGAGCGCTGGCACAAGTTACTCAGGAAGGTTGTGGAGTCTTTATCCATGGAGGTATTCAAAAGCTATCTGGACACATTCCTGGACAAATGGCTGTAGATGACCCTGCTTGAGCAGGGGGGTTAAACAAGATCCTCCAGAGTTCCCTTCCAACCTCAACTGTTCTGTGATCATGCTTTAAAGCCAAAATAACACATTAAACCCCAGTGGGGTTGTCTACAGAAGCCTGCATGCTTCCATCATGTTACCCAATGGGACATGTATAAATGAGTGATAATGGAAAATATATAATGGCATTTCTAAGTCAATTTAGAAGAGAAATTACTGGAAATAATCAGATTTTTTTTCTTTTCTGCATATAAATACAATACATGGTCTATGTGTACTTTTTGTGCTTTATCTCTGAAGATAGTACTTTTTTACTATATGAATGTATCTGTTTGGTAATACAATATTACTAAATTATCTAATAGTTTTACCTACTTCAGACATTAATTGTGTTTGTGCCATTTGATAACTCTAATAGAAATGTGATTCAAAGGCAGCCCCTTTCTTAGCACAGAGGACTGATGCAACAAAACATGGCTGTGTCCCACTCTTCACTGGGGCTCTGCGCCCCTCCAGTTTTTTCCCTGAATCTCTATCTGAAGTGATGAGATGAGTGAATCTGCATGAGTGATGAGAGTGTTGTGCAGTGTGAATATGACACTGGGAGGATTCATGAGTCTAAAAACCTCAGAGTGTGCAAGAGTTCAGTCAAAACACAGGCTGCAGTGGCTGATCATTTTTTTCAACATCTTTCTTCTATATTCTATTTAAAGCTTGTTAACCTGGCATAAGGATTTGTAGTCAAATGGGATAGCCCTTGACACAGTATGTTAACAAGAGAAAAGGCTTTTACTTTGAGTTTGTTATTACGTATTGCTGAAAAAAATGTTTGTGGTTTTCATTGCCTAGAATCAGTTGACAGCAAAAAGTTTTATGAAAGTAAGCTTAGACTGTGAGCAATATTTTTAAAACCATTAATACAAAGTTTGTTTCTCATATACTTATTTGTAAACAGAAAGTCATTCTCTAGTAGCATGCTGCGTGGCGCTAGCTGTTCATGCCACTTTACCGTGCAAATGAATGAGGATTGAAGTTGACATTCTAAGGCAATTTTCACTCATACCAGCCTTTTAATTTATGATCTTAAGTACTGACTTACTGTAAGTGCTCAAAAATATATGTAATATCTTTCACAGCTGCAAAGGTTTTTTGAGATATTCTTCAAGAGCAGTTCTCCCCAACAAGCCTTCAACAACATGAAGGAAGCTATAAGCAAGCTTCTGCTTATAACTGAAGTCTTCAGTGAATCATCTGCCTCAGGACCAAATTCTTTCAATCAGTAAGTGTCTTGCAGTGGTCATTGCTATGCTTTTGTCAAGATAGCTCCCTAGAACAGAAAAAAAAAAAGGTAGAGGATACACACCTCCTAAAATTAAAAAATCCTCTCTATTTCATACTTCCCTATAAAGTGAGGACATGCTGCATTTAGGGAATAAAACTCTTCAATACTCACAGTGTTTCTAGTTTGTGAAAAGGTTATAATGAATACTTAGGACCAGATGCTATGTCCTGATGAAGTGTTTCAGGCAGAACAAATGAACAGAAATCGCTCAGAATTGGGCTAGTTCTAACATATATAAAGCTGTATTTCCCTTCAGTGAGCCTTCTGTCATATGTCAAATATTTAATGTTAGAGTAGCCCAGATGGTTCAGGGCTGGCTGAGGCAGGCAATCTGAAAAAGATACACTGCACAATACTTTATGACATGTACCTTATGAAATATACCTAGGCAGCAACAGTCACATTTCTGTGAGTGTTAAATCATTGTAATTGCTTCTATTAGAGTGTTGCAGTTCTTACACATAAATCAACCTTTATTATGTAATATTTGTATAAATAAAAATTAATATTTGTTCTATATATGTTATGTCACATCGCTGACATTTTTATGATAAATGCTAAATAAGTTACTATTTACTACGTTTGTATGTTTTATAAAGCTATTTGAGAACCCAGGTGTTTTAGTAACAGTAATATAAAGCTCATTATTTGACTTATACAAGTTGGGAATAAAGCTTACATTGTGAGTGGAGAGGGTACTGAAGAGGGGATGAGTGTAACAGGGTTGGAACTATTTTTGACAGTGGTCCAAACTCTAACATTTGTTACCAATGGGATGGCTATCTCTTGTTTATGTAACCCAAGACTTGCTTAGAGCTCTTGGCACATGCCTTCAAACATCCCAACTCTTAAGCCAACTCTTTGGCTTCAGTGAGCTCAGAGACTTTCACCATCTATTGCCCTCTAAATATCTTCAAAGCTTTTGCAGAACCTAATTCTCATCAAAAGACATTTCCTCCTCCAGTGTAGTTCACCTACCTCATTGCTTTAAAAGTCAACCATATTAACACACTTTACTATAGCACTGTTTTCATCATCTCACAATCAGACTCCATCTCTGTTTAGTGTTGCTGGGTCTTCTAAATTTTATTTAGTTTGTATGACATGCAGTCTCTTGACCTAGGCGTGTATGTCTTTGTGTGTGTTCTCTGGACCTGTTTGTGTATGTCATTGTAGCATATACAGGGACAGGATTTAGTGGTGGGCTTGGCAGTTTTAGGTTTATGATTGGATGCAATGATCTTAAAGATCTTTTTCAACCTAAATGACTCTATGATTCTATATTTCACAATAGTACCTAACCTCACTGAATCTGATTCCTGTTATATTGTATTTCAGATGCAGCCAATGTTTTCAAATGCTAACCTTTGACATTGGATTCGGCACCTCCACACACCCAGTAGTTCTTGAGGTGAGAAAATTACACAGATTATTTCTTGACCCAAAAAAACTAACACCAAAAAGAACGTAACAGGGAACCGTCTTTGGTAGGTACCCTCAAACCTCTGAGAAAAGTACAAATACATTAATATCAATTTTGCCTGATGGTGGAGAGTTGCCGTGGGAGAAACCAGTTTTTAATGGTCTGAGTTCCTGTGATGAAGTTCACCACACCATTGAAGTGTGTAAACTTCTTAGTTTTAGCATGAGAGGGCTATCACCCCAACCAAATATCAGTGAAACGAAATCCACAGGAAGCATCGCATGAAAGAAGAGTTAAGTAATAATTGTGCCAGAACAAAGATGAAGGGAGGAAGTTAAAATACCACAACTGGCTTTTAATACAAATTAAAGTTCTCCATGGACTGTACTGTATTTCTTCAGTTCATGACCTGCTTTGGCCTCCACTGTGCTGCCTTCTTCCTGGATGGTCCTTGAGGCTCTCAAAACCAGAGAAATGTGACCTGCAGCATAAACTCCCTGTGCCAGTTTTGTACCACTCCTGCCTCACAACAGCCTGGCCAGAAACAAAAATTTTGATACACAAAAAGAAAAAAAAAAAAAAGTAAATATAGTGTGGGAAATTACAGGTGAACACTTTCAAAATTCATCCTCAGTTAAAATCTGTTCAGATTTCTAGTAACCACAGACAATCTCTTCATCCTTCACAAAAGAAAATCCATTATACACAAAGGAAAAATGGACATATGAAAGAAAGTTTGCACAATTTTAAAAATCCATGAAGACAGTATCCTTAATTAATCTGACAAGACTTTTTAGCTAGCATAAGAAATGTGAAATAGCAATTAAATAATTGTATAAAAAGCTGTAAAAAAGTTCTACCAGGAGTTGTGTAAAAAACTAAACATAAAGCATAATGTTTACCTGCTTGTATAGTATTCTCAACCATCAGCCATACTCCATAAATGTACAGTAAATCAGTAGAGTTTAATAGTTTCTTATGAAAATACAAATTACTCTAAAAAAATAATGATTGATAATTATTATGACATGTGACTTTGAATAGTATCCCTTGGAAACCATAGTATGCACATACCCCGTGCAGCTTGAAGTTATATTTGTGTTTATGCTACAATATTAATTTATTTATGTTTTATAAATATGAGCTTATTCAATGTGTTTCTATATTGTAAAACTTATACTTTCATGTGTAGTAACTCCAAAATAACTGAGTTTTTCAAGAGTTATGTTAATATATAAGCTGACATTTTAAATCAAATTTCGAATCAAACACATGAAAAAAAGCTCTTACAAGAGAATGCAATATTGTAATTTATCCACTGGAGGTCAGCAAACATTGTGGTGTGTAGTTCTGACAGAAAAATGTGGTGCAGCATTTGTTGTATTATAATCCTATCTGGTTTATTAGTGTTATTATGACTTTTTATATATATAAATAGTTTCAGTTTTGTATATGTGGTTATGAGAAGACTGGACATGCTATTCAAACTATAAATTCTTGCACTATTTTCCAACAGGTGCATGAAAGCTTTGACTTTCAAGATGAGGATGAATCAAATATTCAGGACCAAACTTTCAAAGAATTTCTTTTTGAAGATACTTTTAAATTTCTTTTATCTAATGAATCCTCAACATCCAGTTTCTTAGAAGCTTTACAAAAAATATATGGATCAACTCTGAGCAAGGTAGTTCATTCCACCTTTTTCTTATTATTAACTATTAGAAAATATTTCATTCTAAACTGTATGCCTTCCTGAAACTGTTGGTGCCAATTTATAGAATGAAAACTATCAGAACTATCTGTTACAGAATACTGGGGAATAAAACTGTAATTACACTGAACAAGTGAATTTTCTTTTATAAAAAATTCCACTCCCAAATTATGCCCTTCCCCAAAGTACAGCTGTTTAAAGATATATTTAAAACTTTAACAAAGTAATTTCCCCATCATTTTTTTAAATGGTCTTTTCTAATATACAGGTTTGTGTGTTTTTGCAAACCTGGAATTGATTGACCCAGACAAGTAGATTCATGAGCATCAAAATTAAATTTTGTTTCCTACAACTTTGTGTCTTATTCTGAATGCCAGATCCAATTAAAATTTTTTGCATTTATAGGATCTGTATAGAGTTTGCATCACTAGTGAAAACTATTTCTGACAATCTGGGATCTCCTTTAGTAGTATTTCTCTCAGTCTGGGCACTTTTAAGGATGCATTTTTTAGGACCCCCCTGATTGTGAGACTTACAGGGACTAGATTATCCATGCTACTTCTGCCTCTCAGATAGGTGTGACTAAAACCAGGCCATGGGTTCTAAATTTATGACACGATAAAGTAGGAAGCTGCAGACATGCACATGTACGATATGATTACCTAAGTCTGTGTTCTGCAGGAGACCAGACCACATTTCAAACTATCCACTTCATTGTCTATACTTCATGTCATCTCTACCCATGGTAGTTTCTGTGGGCACATTTCTACACAAAGCTAATGCAGTCTACTTTATTCTAGACTGAGAAATGGAAAGATCTATAAAGAAGCTGGCTTGACTTTGGATGAGGTTACGACAAGTTGAGAGCTGCTGTAGCTTGTTCCTTTGATCACCAAAGGGATTGGGGTCTAATGAAAGCACTCTGCTTTCCATGTGATCTCACCAGAATATGCTGCCCTTTCCTTCATAGGATGGAATTTACCACAAAGAAGATGAGCAATGTTTGTCTTTAGAAGAGATAAATTCAATGATTACTTTCATAAAGGAGCTGAAGAGTCTTGGACAATTTGAGCTGGTAAAATACAGGGTTGTGGTGTATTGGATACATATTTTATGTAAATCTCTTAACATTTCTTCGTTACCATTCTTTGCTGCCTCTGGAACATGTATTAGGCTAGATGGACAGGGAAGCAGGGGGATAGAGGTTATACTGATTTTATTTTGGAGGATTTTTGGAATTTAAAAGAGATAAAGAAATAAAACAGATCTTTTGAGTAGGGGATTAATTGAAAAGGACATCTAAAGCAGAAACAGACCAGAAAATAGAATGAAAAGGAGGAAAATTATGTAAATGACTAATGAGTTGGTAAGAAAATAGAATGATAGTGAAGCAAAGCAGGTGTGAATGGAAGAACTGGAGACAGTACAATGCCAAGATCATGACCAGAGAATAAATATAGATGAAAAAGTGGCAAAAAAAAGCAGGTGGAATATGTAATACGTCTTCTTCACACTTCAAGTGAATTGATTTTAGGAGAAGAATAAAGATGGAGGAATAACAGTTAGTGTCTCTGAATAGGCATGGCAGTTAACGAGGGAAATGATGAGTATTGGCGAGGTAAAAGATCTGTAATTGGATCTGTTGTTCAGAAATTCTGTATGATATCAGGATTTCTTCTAGACTTTCTAGATGAGTATCAGTGTTGGAGACTGATGAGGCATTCTAAAGAGGGATTGAGTTGAATAGATGTGGAAGTTCAACCAGAGGCAAAGGATTTAGACTTCCACGTCAGTACTAGTAATCCTGATTTGTAAGACTGGACAAGACAGCCTTTTTCTACATGTGTGGGAAATAGCATTAATATACGTGCATCCATATGCTATATATACTGTCTTCTAATAATTTCTCACTTCTTTGCATTTTACAAATATTACAATGTGTAGTCTCTAATCAGTGTCTCTCTTCTCAGCTTTTCCCTTCTGCTGCACCCAAGACTCAAACTTTACTACGTGACCTTTATCACATGGTAGACCCAATGAGGAGGCTTGGTTCAGTCCTGACCGTGCATTGGTTGCTTTCCAGTTTACTTGAACAATTCCAGTTCATGACTAAAGAGGCACATACAAATCTTTCAGAATGGTAAGATAGCTATTATATGGCCTGGGAACAGAGGCACATTAGACAATGTGTGTGCTCCATTCCACTGAGTCTCAAGTTAAACATGTGAATGACATTATTCTGTGTATTTTGCTTGGAGAATGCTATAGTGACTATATAAGGCATCTGTAAGATTTCTAAAGTTTTAATTTTGTTCCTCATTGAGTTGGGTGTGGTTTTCATCAAGTCAATAGTTATCTCTATCTTTGTTTATCTATAAAGTGGAGCTTATTCTTTACCACCATGCTAGGTAACTGTTTATTAGTGTTTTGAAAATACATAGTTCCATGAATGTACTAAGCATTATTGTTATTAATGCTGGCCACTCCATGAAAAGTAACTCAAGGATGCAGCTGCCTGCATTCATGTATAAGCCCTTGCCCTTTTGCCAAAATATTTAGGTTTGCATATCAAAGCATACCAACCTTTAACAGCTTTCTATTCTAATCTAAGCTGTCCCACTCACTCACTTTGAGCAAGCCTCTTGGCCTCTTTTTTCTTCAAACTGAACATTATTGTATTTGTATAAATATGTAGAAGTACCATGACTTCTCTTCAGGGCATAGGCCAATATGATTCTTTGCACTGTATTTTTCTTCAATGGCTAAGCTAATAATACCATTCTCTTCATTCACTGCATGTGTTTTGACATTGCTAAGTCATAATCTTACCCTCCTATAGCTACATGCATGTGATGGTGATGCATGTGCCAGATATGCCTGTAATTATACTTAATTGCAAGGAAGAAAAAGTTTAGTAGAGCTTACTCCCCAAATAACTCAGGTATGCATTCTCTTTGAGCTCTGATTAATCTTCAAGATTCTCAGGTTTGATGAATTTGTATATTGAACACTTTTCCTGACTTTCTTCAGTTAAGGCCAGGTTGTTTATTTAACAGTTCTTATTTCTCTGACTATGCAAAACTGGTATTTCCATTTACAAAATCCAATGATTTGCATAGCTGATTGTCCAAATAGAGATATTTATGGGAAAAGTATTGACTTCTGATTTAGGTCCTGTGTAGTTATTCTATTCACTGATCATGAATCTATAGGATGGAGACAGGATTTAAATAAGTTTCCTGGTCTACTTTTCTTAACCCATTTCATCTACTTAATTCAGTGAACCAAATGCCCTCATGGAAATTGTGACTGAAGCCAAGCAAACACTCTACAAAACAGAGGGCTCACACTGCTGGTTAATCAAACAGAAAAAAATTGCTAGTGATCATGTATCACAAAATTACCTCCAGTGGCTCCTCATTTTCAAAAGAGACCTACAAAACATCATCTAAATAAATGAAATTCATAACTCTAATAAATACTGAAACATGGTCTCAATTTTTACTTTCTGACCTATTAAAAATTGCATCATCCATAACTAACACATCCACCAGAGGCCTCAGAAGTGACTGGAATTTTTCCTTTTTATATTTTAATCTTATGATAGATATTATCTATTTCTACACATCTTTCATTGCTTATGTCTCTGATTGCTGAGACCACCAGAGCTACAATGCTATTGCTGCTGTCAGTCCATTCACTTTATCATTTGCTGGATCAGAGATTTCTAAAGGACAGGTTGACTGTCAATATTTTGTGATGTACACAGCGGGGTTCTTCCAAAAAGTACATTCACAAGCATGCACTTACCTAAGGGTACCTGACCTGCTGACTGCAAGGAGCTTGGACAAAGGAAAACTTAATGGTGCTGATAATTCAAAAGTCCAGTCTGCTGCAGAGACAAATCATAGAAAGATAGAATCATAGAATGATTTAGGTTGGAAAAGACCTTTAAGATCATCAAGCTCAACCCTTAACCTAGCACTGCCAAGTCCACCACTAAACCAACCATGTCCCTAACCGCCACATCTTTTAAATACCTCTGGGGATGGTGACTTAATAACTACTTCCCTGGGCAGACTGTTCCAATGTTTGACAACCATTTTGCTGAAGACATTTTTCCTAATATCCAATTTAAACCTCACCTGGCACAACTTGAGGCTGTTTCCTCTTGTCCTATCTCTTGTTACTTTGGAGAAGAGATCAACACCCACCCCGCTACAACCTCCTTTCAGGTAGTTGTAGGGAGCGATAAGGTCTGTCCTCAACCTCCTTTTCTCCAGGATAAACAACCCCAGTTCCCTCAGCTGCTCCTCATAAGAGTCACTCTCTAGACCCTTCACCAGCATTGTTGCTCTTCTTCAGACATGCTCCAGCACCTCAATGTCTTTCTTGTAGTGAGGGGCCCAAAACCGAGCACAGTATTCGAGGTGTGGCCTCATCATTGTCGAGTACAGGGGGACAATCACTTTCCAAGTCCTGCTGGACACCCTGTAATTTGAGTATCTTTCTGTAATATAATTTCTAAATATTACATTTTGATACCCTGCTGTAACTAGATTTATTATGTCTCTTAATGTTGTCTGATGATAATTGCACTCTTTTTACAGAGTTGACACTCACAGGTCACACTGTTCCTTTGGGAGCTGGGGCCTTGCAGTGGTGGTGGTTGCCACATTCCCAAGGTGTCCTCTGGCTATAACAAAGTCTGGAATTTTGTAGAGTTAGGATATCTTGTTTTCACCTTACAATAGGGTTTGGTACTGGGCAGTCAAAATGGAACAGCAGAGAGAAAAAAATGTATTTGGCAGGTGTGTTAGCCGTTACCTCCTTGGCAAGCAAGAAGAGGGGTGCAGAACTACTTATAACTTGGAAAACAAACTCTCTAAGTGTTTGTTAAGTGCCTCCTTTGAAGGAGGTCATGAATATGCATGAAATTAAGGTGGTGTCTAGACACTGCAAGCTCAGAAATACATTTTCATGCACCCACAGAGGCACATGGATCTGCCAGCTGCTTCTTTCCTTATATCATTGAAATAATGCAGAAATCTCTGTTTTAGTATTGGACAGTTTACCTTTTACCATGATTGACCTCAATATTACTTCCAGCAGCTCCTGTTGAAACATTAGTGATGGCTGATTGCACAGAGCAATATTGCCACCTCCCTTCTTTGGCACAGTGATTTTGTGTCTTCCAAAATCCAAACTGAATGGGCAGCAGTGTCTGGGAAGAAGCTGCTTTATGAGAACTTCTGCAGAAAACACTGGGAGGAAAACATGTGAAAGCTTCAAGAAATGCTAATGAACCTCTGAAAAGGTCTTATCAGCCAGAGGTCTAGTACATGGATTAGAGAGAAACCTACTGCCTTTCTTCTACTATGCTCCCAAAATGGTAAATGAAAGAGAATATTTGCAGAGTTAGTAATATGGGCACCACTACAATGTCAATGAATTTTTGCAGTTGGCTTGTCTTTTTTCACCGAGGATTTATATATATACTCTGGATGTTGATCATGTGTTTTGTTTTGTATTAGCAAACAAATCAAAACACATAGATATTCCATTATATGAATTCATGCTAACGTCAGTACACATGTTCATCTTGACAGGGGCCTTCATTTAGATTTAATTCTTTTTGAACAAAGTCTAACTTTAACCTCAAATATATACAAACAAGCATCATACAAAGAGTTAAGAGATGAGGTTTGGGTTATTTTATCCACAGTTATAGTCACTCTTCCTTTTCCCAGCAATTCAACTATGTTTTGAAATTTATGTTTCTCTTTTCTTTTTTTTTTCATGTTATGTGCTACCATTTATTATGGAATGTGTGCTTTCTGTCACGTTCATTCAAGTAGTACTGCTAATGCTGGGAACCTGAATCCAGAAGGTTCATCTTTCCATGGAGAATATTAAAATGCCATGTGCACTAGTTTGTCATAGAGAAATTTTTGAAAAGCATTCTATAGTTTCTGTTTCATCCATTCATGTAGAAATATATCTGCTGTTGAATTGACAGGAATTCTTCTCAAGAAAATGAAAATCCTAAGCAGAATGTTCCTTCTGACTTCAGGAAGAATCACGAAGGTAAGGGATCACATAAGGTCTTTTATATATGGTATGTTTTTCCTATTTGTGCTACTTCTGATAACATGTATGATTCAGATTACATTGGTTTGCATCCAGATGGAAGGTCTTGGCTTACTACATATAAAAGACCAATTTCTTCCTTATCTGTGTAAATTGTTTTGCTGAGCCCATGAGCAGTGTTCATGAACCTAAAGCAAAGATCTTACACTGAAAAGTATAAAAGTACGCTATTAACACAGTGTGAGTTCCTTCTCCTATAGTATTGTGACTCAGGCTTAGAGCAGAAAATGGTTGATTGTTTCTGTTTATCTTTCAGGATTGCATTATTCCAGTAACACTAAAGAAAGACAATGCAGTTATGGTAAGTCAACGTCTTTCTAGACTACTGAGGGGAAAGAAGAGAGATTACTTGAACAAATTTATTGGGTTTTTCTTCATAACCTTTCAGTGAATGGAGTGCCTGTGGGCTGTCATGTTAAAAAAAAAAAAAAAAAAAAGGATTTTTACGTAGCAAGAATGTTTATGAATCACTCAATAATTGGGCTATTATGTGAAATAATCCTCAAGTTAAATGTTGCTATGCGTGCGTATTAATGTGAATATTCCAGCACTCAATGATCCTTTGCCACACTTCAATAGGCTTTTGCCCCTTATTTCCAAGAACTTTAGCATATATTTGTTCTTATGGAATAACCTTTAAACTTGTATGGTGTTTAATCAGCCTTGTTTAAAGCCAGTCTTCAGCTCCGTGGTGTAGTTTTAAAGAGCTTCTTAAAAGATTAAGAGTTATTCTAAAATATCTGCTTGTAGGAATATTTAATGTATATTTAAAGATATGTAAAGATTTAAAGTATATTTGTCTTTGGTGTGAGCAATGCTTTCTTCTGCCTTCCTCATTGGAACATTATCTGAGGAGTAGCTTTATAAACGTGAAACAATTGCTCTGTGGCAGAAAGGCTTTCCTACACATTGAGCCTCATTCCCCTCTGTTACTGATCTCATGGTGCCTCCAGGAATTCCTCTGTGTCAGTCAGAGGCCAGAAATACTCCTGTGCTGGCTGACTGGCACCATTCTAATTGCATGATATTTTGTTTTGAAAATACCTCAATTAATTTTATTTTGAAAAATCCTCCTCATTTTTAAGCTAGTAGTGAGATAACCTTTCCAGATAAGGCATACAGGACCTGGAGAAGTGTTTATACTCATCTGTAGATTTTTTAAAATACTTTCTCTGTGTCAATTGATAAGTCTCTATTCCCCTACAAATCTGGCCCACATTCTGCTCTTCCACTAGAATAACATCCTTTACATTTTAATCCATGCAAGATAGTGCTGAAATTGCCCTGTTTTGTTTCTCAAGTCAGATATTTTGAGATAAAAAAGGCTACATAGAACTGCTTGCATCTTTTACGACCCTGTTAAGCTATGCTTTAAGCCACAAGATTTTTCAGATATTATACTGGAAGAGTTTCCTGGCTGGAGTATTTTCTGAAGTACCCAGTGCTAAACACATACTAGAGAATATATATGGAAAGCAAGTTTTGAATGTGTAATTATACTGTAAATCTGAATCCAGTAGGTTGGATTAAAATATTTGTCATAAATGGGTTGCCAGCAAATAATTATTCTCATGAATCATTTGGCAAACACTACAAAAATAAAGGATACATTTGAGCAAATAGGATTTGACTGTGGAGTTTTCATACACAGAGAAGGAGCTGGAATTTGTTGATTTAGGAATTTTAATAAAACATTAATTCTTCCAGCTGTACTGCAAATGACCCCATGAGTCTAGATATCTGCATGTGACTTTTTCTTATGAACAATAAGAGTATGTCTAACTTATTTTGATTTTTATTGGCAATTACACATGTACATAAACCCTGTACACAGGCTGGTACCTAAGTAGGTTATGAATTTTGGCCTAACTTTTCTTTAAGTTTCAGTTAACCAGCTGGAGACAGGATCTCCTAGACCTAATCTGTGCATTTTCAAAGGCTTACTTGGACTTTGGGTTTTGTGACTCTGACTAAAGTAATTGGGCACTGAATGAGTAAAATCCCTCCAGGGTCTAAAAATTTCTCTCAAGTGCCAATACAAACTCCATTAAGACCTGGCAGCAGGATTATCAGTCTCAGAGTGATCAGGCATTAACAGTCTTGCCACTGTACATGTTATCAGTCTGCCAGAAGTTGCATGTTACTTAAAAATGTTCATACATTTCACAGTTTTTTCTTTGATGCCTTCTTGGAACAGATAAAGATACCCTATCTCATATCAGGCAGATCTTCACCAGTCCACAGCTGGATTTGAATCCTCAGTTTAACCCAAAGATCAAAGAATACTATGCAGAAGTCCCATTCGACATGGTGACAGTGAAGATAGGAGCAGAACCCTCTAACTGTCAATGCCAAGTACACCTTGATGAGAAGAAAGGGCCAAGGTATGAGTCACAAAATATAAGTGTAAAAACTAAAATGTCCTTAACTTTGGAAATACGTCAGAGTATTACAGAACTGTTTTGTGTTTCCAAAAGCACAGAATGTCTATAGATTAGTCACAGGGAAGTCAGAGGGAGTTCAACACCCAGAAATTTCTATTTATTTGTCAATGTCCTGAAGGCAATGGTAATATGTTCTCAAGCCATAATTAACACTAGCTTTACGGAGTGCCCAGTTGCTAGCATCTTCCACAGCTTCTTCAGTTACTGACAGCATCAAAGCTGGTTGGGAACAGACCATCATTACACTGCACACAGTAGACAGCAAAGAATTTGAGCTTTTGTAACCAGGCCTTGATTTTTCACTGTGGCTTAATCTGCTTCCCCTCTGGGCTTAGCCCCTCAGCCTGCAGTCTGTATATGTGGGTCAGAGTAGGGCAGCTGGGATGAAAAGTAGGAATAAATTCAAGTTTACTCATTTAGAATGGTCAAGTTTTGTTAAAAATATATTCTAGGGGATTGTCATAGAATCATAGAATGATTTAGGTTGGAAAAGACCTTTAAGATCATCAAGCTCAACCCTTAACCTAGCACTGCCAAGTCCACCACTAAACCAACCATGTCCCTAACCGCCACATCTTTTAAATACCTCTGGGGATGGTGACTTAATAACTACTTCCCTGGGCAGACTGTTCCAATGTTTGACAACCATTTTGCTGAAGACATTTTTCCTAATATCCAATTTAAACCTCACCTGGCACAACTTGAGGCTGTTTCCTCTTGTCCTATCTCTTGTTACTTTGGAGAAGAGATCAACACCCACCCCGCTACAACCTCCTTTCAGGTAGTTGTAGGGAGCGATAAGGTCTGTCCTCAACCTCCTTTTCTCCAGGATAAACAACCCCAGTTCCCTCAGCTGCTCCTCATAAGAGTCACTCTCTAGACCCTTCACCAGCATTGTTGCTCTTCTTCAGACATGCTCCAGCACCTCAATGTCTTTCTTGTAGTGAGGGGCCCAAAACCCAGCACAGTATTCGAGGTGTGGCCTCATCATTGTCGAGTACAGGGGGACAATCACTTCCCACGTCCTGCTGGCCACACTATTTCTGATACAAGCCAGGATGCTATTGGCCTTCTTGGCCACCTGGGCATACTGATGGCTCATATTCAGCTGGCTGTTGACCAACATCCCCAGCTCCTTTTCCACCAGGCAGCTTTCCAGCCACTCTTCCCCAAGCCTGTAGCATTGCATGGGGTTGTTGTGAGCCAAGTGCAGGACCTGGCACTGAGTCTTGTTGAACTTCATACAATTGGCCACAGCCCTTTGATCCAGCTTGTCCAGATCCCTCTGTGGATCCTTCTTTCCCTCAAGCCAATCAACACTCCTGCCCAACTTGGTGTCGTCTGCAAGCTTACTGAAGGTGCACTTAATCCCTTCATCCAGATCATGATCAAGATATTAAACAGATCTGGCCCCAATACTGAGCCCTGAGGAACACTACTTGTGACTGGCCACCAACTGGATTTAACTCCACTTACCACCACTCTTTGGGCCCAGCCATCCAGCCAGTTTTTGACCAAGCAAAGTGTTCACCTGGCCAAGTCATGAGGAGCCAGTTTCTCCAGGAGAGTGCTGTGGGAAACAGTGTCAAAGATTTTACTAAAGCCCGGGTAAATAATATCCACAGCCTTTCCTTCATCCACTAAGTGGGTCATCTTGTCATCAGCAAGAGTCCCAGCTTATCTGATCTTTTAGAGAAGTATAAAGCTGGAGAACAGGGGAGAGAACAAAGTCATCACTAAACATCAGGCTTTAGCACTGACCCACAATCATCTATGATGTTTAATTGCTGCTATAATCCCTGGCACAGTTTTGGCTTTCCCAGACAGGTCTCTCACAGACAGCAGCATGTGCCAGGGACAATCCCAGTAGGCATTTTTGGCATGACCTATTTTTGGATGTTGGGAAGGATAAAAAGTGTTTATTTATCCTGAGTCGGGTACCTCAGAACCAGAGAACTGGCCTATTTACATACTAGCCATTAGTGAGTGGATAGAAGGGAAAGTAGGGGCAATGATTCACTTGAGAGGAAGAATTCTTAACCATTACAGAGCTAGCTTTGCCTCATGGCGTCAAGTGCCTATGCAACACACCATCTTTTGACTGACTATGAAACAGATGCTTTGACCTAGAATGTCTGCTAATAATCAGTCTGTACAGTTGCTACTGATCCAGTGCCTGATATGCTTCACGTATTTTCAATAAGAAATTAGTCTTTATTTATCATTTCAAAAGAAGCTCCCATAAAATTCTTCCACCCAACATTTTAGTATTTTGACGTTAACTGCCTTGGAAGTCAACACAGATACGTGCGAAAAACTTAAGAGATTTCTTCCTTGTAAAAGGAAAACAGAATAACACTATGTCCTTTACATTGAAATGTAAAAGCCCTGGAAGTGTAGGTTCTGTGTCCTTCAGAATTTCTCATTTCCCTGACAAGGGAAGAAGAGCACAGTCCAGATCTGCTCTTATCTGTCACTCTGCATAGTTTGTCTGGGACTCCATCGCATTTGGCTAGTGAACAATTTCAATGGCTAGATGACACCTCTGATATTGTTTTCCTCCCTACTGACTTCACCATGAACTTGTACCTGCCAGGAATCATTGTCCCTAATGGCTTCACTCACAGATTTCATGTCAGAATTGTTGCCACTGCCACTGAAGCTGTTTTCACAAAGTTTCACTGTCAGCATTTTGTCTTCCTGAAAGAATTGTAAATTGCTAGAAATCTTGTTTTACACTGCTTTTTATTTAAAATCTTATGTATTTTATAAGGTAAAGAAAATATTAGAAATATGTCTCAAGGAGCAAGTAAAGTTTGGCTGCCGTAAATAAAGCAGTGTAAATCTTTGTTTCTTCAGTGTTTATTCCAGTTCTTTCCTGTTTTGCCTTACAGCATTGCTAACTACCCCCTTGGCCTTGGATTGAACAAAGTCATCATTATGGTGACAGATGATTCACAGCCCAGCCCTCAGGTTGTGAGCAGCTACAAAATCACAATTTATCGAGAGGACCGTCCTAGTCTGCCTTTGTTTGATGACTATATGTTGTGTGGGTTTGTGCAGGTATTCTATCTATATTCCTTTGCTATACAGCTTAATAGTGTATTTAACTGGTTTCTGTTCATCTAGTGGTATCAATTAAAGACCGTGGGGTACAGAGCTGGTGTAGAGTCAGTTTGGGTGAGGTTAGAATCTGAGTTCTAAATGCTATAATTTCATTAAATACAGCATTTACACAACATTTTGGGTATAAAAACTAAGTCTTGTGTAAGTACCTGTACAGTCACCACGTATGTGAGTGCTCCAGATTAATTAATCCTTACTTTGGTCATCCAAAAGCTTACCCATCAGAAAGCTATTGTTTGCTTGTGAGAAATCTGTCCCTCTGTGCCATGCAGTGGTCAAACTGCAATTTTTATATCTGTCTATGCCATTGGAGCTATGGAAATCCTTTTACCAGGAAAGATATTTATGATGATGGTGTGTTTATTATCAGTGTTCAAGACAAATGCTGCTAGATAGTTTATGAATGAAAAGTGTTTATTCTAGTGACCAGCAAACACAATGGAAACACTCACTGATGATTCTGAAGGAAGGGATGATTGTTGTTTACCATTTATCTGAATATAAGTTTGGGAATTCAAATAAATTACTCCTAACAAATAATAATCCTTAGGAAGCAGTGGTGCTCCTGAATAAAAAAAAAAAAAATGGTGAGACTCTGTCTGATAGGGCTAAAAAGGGGTTGGGGAAGGGGAGATCAGGCTGAATTAGACACAAAATTGAATAAAAAATCATGAGAGCAAAGAACAGTGAATCTTTCAGTTAGTGAAACTATGGTGATAAAGAAGTTCTTTATAAGATAGAAAACCTGGGACACAGGCTGGAGCAGAGTTGTTTGAATTCCAAAGTTTGAGGACCAAACGTTGGTACTTGATATGGTGGGGAAAAATAAGCCATTCAATTCAAAGAGGAAAGTGACATGAGAAATCACAATCAAGGGAAATGTTTTGTCTGTGGGATTTTAGGTAGATTGAAAGGTTTGGTGTGTTCATTCTAAATACTAGAGTGCCCAGGAGGAATATATTTCATCACAATTAATTCTACAACCATCAAGCAGGATTTTCAAAACCATAGTGTTGAAACTGTCATGTTCATGTCAAATGTTTACTCCTATCTTTATTTATCACCTTTATGAAGATCTTTATATATCAATATATCCTTTTCATAAAGCTTATTTCTCTTCTCCAGTTTCTTTCTATCTACTGCAGAAGAATTTGAGAGACCAAGATAGGAGAGGCAGAGCATTTTATGTGATGGGACAGATCAAGAGGGATTTTTTTTTTTTCTTGTAGAGAAATAAGCATTGGGGCTTAAAACAGGAGCCAAAGAGTTTATAAATGCTGATAACAAATTGTATGTTGACAATAATTATCTCAATCTGCAAATCAGAACTGTGAGAGAAAATGTATGTAGTAGTTGTAGCCTACCGACTGCTGATCTGAATACCTGATTATGGTGTTGTCTCACCCTCTACCTATTCTTTGTCTCTTCCCTTACACTTATCTTACAAGCTCAAAAGGTCAAAGACCACCTTCTTGCTCTTTATACTGGCTCAGCACTAGGTCTAGTAGTTGCTACAGTGAAACAAAAAACCCATATGTAATACCTAAGATTTCAGTTCAGGTGTGTATTCAAGTATGAAAAGGAGAGCAGCAATAGGTTGAGCTGGAGTTATATTATTAGGAGAACACACGGGCTGGAAGTATGTGAGGAAAGCTCCTCTCGTTGCCCAATTTCGGAACAAGAATTCAACCTCATACACATCCTCCCACATAGCGTTTACACTGTTGTTAATGTTTTATGATAGCATTTAGGAGACTGAGTATGAATCTTTGAAGAACTGTAAAGGCAAAGAGATCTAGAATGATAAAAATGAAAAGTGTTTTAGAAGTTTCTTTTGATTGGGCTCAGTTTTCTGCTCATCTATGAATAAATGCTCTTTAATTAATATAATTGTTCAGAGCTAGGGAGGACTTCAGGAATTTAGAGTAAAAATGAGATGAAAAGCATTCTTGTGGTATCTAATGAGGGCTGTGAAGATACAGTATGAGATTCTAAAACAACATTTTTTTTTAGATATGTTAAAGGCAAACTTATCAGAGAGTGCATTTAAAAAACAAATGAAGTCTGGAGCTGAAGATAAAAATGGCATTCTAAAACACTTAAAAGCCTGCATTTTTTCCCCTTTTCCCTATTTGATAGAACAGAATTTATTGTCTTTTGCTTAGAGGGATGTTTTTTATCAATACAAAACTCAGGTCTTAAATAGCATCATTACATTCTGCTTTTCATACCAGAGAAATTATGCACTCTTGCAGGGTGGGTTAATACACCCTGATCAACGGCATGAATGTTTGTTCTCTTAGTAACAAGACACCTGTTTTAGGAGCAAAAGGATAAATACAGTGTGAACTGATGGAGTCTCCATTGGACACTTGACTAGGCACAACTGGGATCACACTGGGAGAGAAAGGTCACTGACAGTGGTGTGGTCTTTCTCACAGAAGGCTTCAGTTAAAATTCTAATCCAGCAACTTTTTTCCTGATTTTCTTTTATGTTTAATCCCATTAGGATATTCAGGTTTCACTGCAAGATGATACTATAAGGAAGGTTACAATAAAAAGAAAGAGTGCAGGATGTTGTTTCCAGTCTTCTAACAATTTTCATGCAGTTGAATAATCCTGGATTAATTTCAAGGCTATTGAGTTAAGAAGTGTGTAGTTCCAAGCCTTGCAGCCCCTAAAAGGGGAAAAAATACTGTCCTCTTTACTTTTTGATAGCACCTATAATATCCTCATTAAAACCAAATTAGTAGGGGATAAACTGTGGCATCACCATAGCACCTTCATCAGATTTTGTTGCCTTTCATTGTGTGTTCTGCATTCTGATAGTATTGTTTGGACTGCAAATGGAGAGGTTATTGGTTTGTGCTTTAACTTAATTTTGTGCAATTGTTGACAGTATTCAAATTAAGTGTCCTTGAGAGAAGTGGTTTCATTTCATTATCATCTGTGAAGCTGTGATACCAAGATAGGCATAATACAAAGTAGGCAGCAAAAACAGTGAGCTCTTAAGACATGAGTATCAGCAACACCCTCAGTAAAAGATTCCAGACTATGTACATACTGTCATAAAGGACAAAATATTTTAGTCATTCTTGCAGTGCCCATTATCTTTAATATGCAAACAGGTTTATCTATGCCTCACTTGAAATGTGCGGATGCTACCTCTTTGATTGTTAAACTTTGCCAGGTTGCAATCATGGAAAGTAACTGGTGATGTGCTTAGGGAACCTTGTCTGACATTGTGAACTTTTGTACCTATAGTGTCCTGCTGCCACATGGGATTTTTCGTTTGTTTTGGTTGGTTGGTTGGTTTGGGTTTGTTTTTTTTTTTTTTATATTTTAGTAATACAGTTCTTTATTTGGTTTTGCATTTGCATGGTGAGTAATGGATAGCTAATGTTATATTTTATAGCCCTACTGTGTATCATTCTTTTTGTCTGTGCAGTTGCATAAGACGTGAAAAAGTACTTTCGAGAATCAGTGACAGCGCAGTGGGCTGATGCTCTGGGCGTCCTACAGCTTTTTCAGATTTGAGAGAACAGACTTATAGAACAGCCTTAAAAGCTTTCCTGAGTACTATTATCTCTTATATTTTGATGAAACCTCTTACCATATTAATTTCCTAGAGTCCAGACAGCATAAGAATTACAGCAAAGCTGATAATGAGTTACTGGTGTAGCATTGCTGACTGTGTAACAACAAATGGCTGCAGTGCAGCTGGTAGCAGGATGCCAGCAACAAGTTGTTGATTTCTCTTTCTGTCTACTAAACTTCCATTGATAAAAAGGCAATTAAGACCTAGGCCTTATATAATAGTTATATTTAACTTTATTACAGTCTTTGAGGTGTAGAGATGAGAAAACCCTTTAGAAAAGAAGGTGCCATTAAAAAAAAAAATCATTTTTTTGTTATGTAAGATATGAAAATAATTATATATTTTTCAGCTCAAGTTATAAATTTCCCAAGGAAAATAAAATGGTTTTACTTCATTTTAAACTGTGTGCTATTACAGTTGCAATGCCTTTCATACCATACTGCAAGTTAAAACTGTCAATTATAGAAACATGGATTAACTCTTTGCCTAGTTCTTTCATGCAGTGATATCAAAGAACCCTGCAAATATTAAGTAATGTCCATAAAATAAAAATAAAATCTTAGGAGAGAAACTAAGAACTTGTCCTGTAGTAAGACAGGCTTGAAGTACATTAGTCTCTTCTATATTTCCCATTAACAGCATTAAATTCACTGTGACCCCCATTACAAACCATCCAGCTCTTCTGTCCTTAGGACATTGCAGATGCCATGTTCAGACTTTTAGGTTTTACAGTGCTTGTTGTAGCAGTAGCTAAACTTCTTGGCAGTTCTTGCTTTGAGTGTCTTGCTTGAAAAAACACAGAAAGTGCATCTCCCGAACTGAATATGCAACCTAATTATATCAGCGACCAGACTGTATCTTATTTGCAAAGTTAGCTTACTTCCCTTTCAGAGAATAAAAGAATATTCATTATAGGAGCAATCATGCATTGCATTCTTTAGTATTCTCAGATCTAGAGCTGGTGAGAATTTTTTTCAGTGGTTTTGAATTTTTCAGAAAACAACAAAAATTGCACCAAACTTAAAAAATAAATAGTTTGAGTCCATTTTTTTCCCTGTTGTTTTAAAGCTTTCTGATTATTGAAAAAAAAAAAAAAAAAGAAAATGTTTTCTTCAAAAGAAGGTGTTTTGATTCAAAGAAGGTCATTTGATTAAAACAGAATAAAATTCAAAATTTATATTGGTATAGCTGTTAAGATGGAGATTTTAGCTATTGTGTAGTCTAGAATGATAACTCTGTTTTCAAGGAGGGAGTCGCTGGAACAAGCAAAAAGCCCACTCATTATTAGTTCTGAAATACTCAAGCCTATACTTTAAATTTTCTTCAGAAACACTGGTGA